CTCACACACACACACCCACACCCACACCCACACTCACACACACGTTGTGGGCGTAAAAATCTGTGACCGAGTGCCATCAAATGTTTCCGAAATGCGCAAGAAAAACAGGTAATGATGGCACTAAACTGTTTAAACTGCAGCCCCACAAATGTGCGATTTTGTACGGACAGTATCTTAATTATTTTCGAAACAGTGTTGGAATTGTTTCTCTTGTGGATTTTGTGTAAGACTTTGCATTTACTAGGCTTAATTTGCATACATTTCATGGTATTCTCCGGACTAAGATGCTTATTCTTATATCCTTGATATGGATTCTGTTTATTCCTCTCCATATATTTCCAACATCCTTCGTTTTGCAGGTTAACTATTTTAACTTATTAAAAGGAAAAAAAAAATATATATATATATCAATGTATACCACCTGCAATAGATGAAGTACTTTTGGTAAGGTTTAACACGTATCGACTCGAGAGGCACAAAAACCTCAACAGATGCAGACAGATATAAAAACTATCCGCAACCCGAAAAGCGGAGAACAACAATCCGGCAATATGAAAAGTTACACCACATCCAGACAGAAGGGCAAAACATATTTCTCAAATGAACACCGCAAAACTATTGAAAATTACTGTAAACAGCGCCGTCGAAAACGTATGGACTTCTGGCCAAATCGGACGGAAACTCCGGTCGTACATATTTTTTATGATAGCCACGGACTTGGCCAGCACGATTTGATTCGATTTATGGGCGGCGATTTGTGGGCAGCTCTACATATGTACTAGTGAATGTGTACGTATGTATATACATGGTACAAACATATACAGCATTCGAAAACAACGACAGGGAAAACAAACAAGAAAGAAAACTGAACTGAACTGCGAAAAGTTTTTCCATTAAATCAATGAAGCGCTCAAAATATTCACACCAAGGACAGCGGCGACAGAAATCAGTTCGAAAATTGGCCAACTTTCTGATTTGAAAGGATTTCCCAATCCAACGTTATTCGGCCTCGAATATATATTGATAGATAGTAAGGGCAAGTCCTGCGATTAGATAAAACAAATGACTTGAATTGCCTTGTGTCTTAAGAGTTCTTCTAACGGATAAGCTTTGTTTGGGCTCTTTAAGGCCAGCGTGCCAAATTGGGCTTATAAATGCTTTAGAGCTACTTGGTAAAACCAGAAAAAATTCATGCAATTCAAATATTTCAATGTTTTTCCTTGCTGTTTCATAAGAAAGCAATAAATATTCTCCCACCACCAGTTTAGTTTTTTTTATCATAGATAAGTCAATAAATACAATATTTCAAAATATATACTCTTCGCCTGAGAAGAGAAGTATGTTTTTTAAAATCACATGGATTTGCGAAACCGCTTTCAATCAGAACTTTTAGAATAGGTTTCATGCAGTTAGTTATATTATTTATTGATCAAGCAAGGAAATACTCGTATAAGTTTAAAAAGTCGTTCGACTTTATCACATACGTATGGGTCTTAGGAATTATGGAAACAAAACTACTAGATATCAGTTAGGCTTATATGTTATTATACCCAATATCATCTTGATATTACTTAAATGTTAAATTGATATTTTATCAATATCAGTTTGATATTTTTTTTTTTTTTTTTTTTTTTATCTTTATTTATTGAATCTTCTCTTGAAGAGACTTACAATAAGAATTCAAATCTTAACCTGTACTATATATTATTATTTTATATTATTTATTATGTTATATTATGTTTATAAATTGGTCAACAGCCCTCAGTTTGGCAGGAGTGGGCGGTCGTTGCGCTGTAGACGAGAGTGGCTCCTGAGCTGCCTGGCTAGTTGGTTTGGATCTTTTGATAGTCTATCTTCGTATTTCAAAACTTTACTATAAATTTCTGCTTGGACGGGTTTTTTATCCAGGTCCCTAAGGATATATACCAGGGGGCATCTGCTATTGTTCGCAGTATCTTCGACTGGACTCCAACGAGATTTTTATGTTGCTGCTTCTTAGGTTTCCCCAGAGTTCAGACCCGTACGTCCAGATTGGCTTTAAACATGAGTTATATAGTAGAACGAGAGTTGATGAGCCAGTGGAAACTGTTGGCCTTGAGTTTTAGGCAGGTCTTCTTCGCTTCAATGTGCCTTCTAGAGGTAAGCCGGCTGTCTAAGTGGATGCCCAGGTAGGTGACTTCGTTGACTTGGGGGATTTTAGCTGTGTCATCAGCAAAGGTGGATAGAATTGTTTGACTGCTTGTGGGAATATCAGCCGTCTATAGGACATACAAGATCGGTCCGAGCACACTTCCTTGGGGTACTCCAGCCTTGACTTTGTGGTTTTCAGAGAACAAATTTTTGCATCTTACAGTAAAAACTCTATCTTTGAGGTAAGATTCAAGCAACTTGTGGGTGTTTTGTGGCGAGACAGTCTTGATTTTGTAAACTAGACCTTCAATCCACACTTCTGATACTTCTTGAATATTAAATCTTAAATTGTCTTTAATTGCATATTGTATGAATTATAATTTTGATATTACTTGAATATTAAATAGATACTCTGTTAATTATTACTTCAATATTCAAAGGAATTTATATAAAATGTACTGTTTAATATTAGGTTGATATTGTATTATCATCCAATTAATCGAAGATGGCTTTAAATTGGTTTACCTAATATCTAGAGGACCAAACAGTAACCTTTTGAATAACAGAAACAATAATTCTAATATAAGTCATAACAAAATCGAGAAACGAAAGCAATCGTTCTCTAAACTAAGGATTACCACAACCAAAAGCCCTATGATATATGGTTTTCTTTGGTAACATGTGTATCGATTTCTGGAATTATTATGGTGGGGATCAGTCAAAGGGATTTCGGCACTCAGCGTTGCAAAAGAATCGGCTTTACGAACCAAACTTTGTCTGCGCATAACATCAGCTTTCCCCCCTTTGCCGGCTTTCCCTATTTTCCACTGTGGAACACAATTTCAAGTGTCATTCCGTTTGTTATACACACTTATTTTTATGCCTGATGACAGCTCAATTTTTCCCTCTAGTTTTTGCACTTTTTCCCCAGCTCCCCTCGCTCACCGCAACACACAAAAAATGCACAAAATTTGCAAAAAAAACAAAGATATTTTTTCGGGGCGAATAAAATAGAACAAAAAGCCAATTTTACTGGGCCAAGTTGTAAAGAAAAAAGGCGAGGAAAGTGGAAAGTGGAAAGCGGAGAGTGGAGGGGACACATGTACGTTGAAAATGGTGAGACGCGGACAATAAATGGCCACATGACAAAACATACGTTTCGTGTACAAATTTATGTCATAAATTTCGTTTTGAAGGCCCTTCGGACACATGGTTTTTTTTTTTTTTTTTTGAGGTGAAGAACAGGGCATTTTTCGCTCCATCTGCGGATATATATTTGATAAATGCTCATATTCGTGTAGTCATGGTTAAACGTGGCGTTTCTTAAATGTGAACTTAAATTTAAATTCATCTTTAAATCACAACCAATTCAAGTTGGGATCCAATCTACAGTGTACACTTTAGGGAACTTTAAAGAAATGCAATTTGAATATACATAGGTAACTTCTGGTAATTTAAAGAATGATTTTTATTGAAAAAACAAAAAGCTCTCACCATTTTCTGGGTTCCTTTATACGTCACACCTTTTTCAACTTAAAACAACAAGTGAAATCGTTTCGTTTTTACCAGACGTCGTGTTAGCCAATTTACTTTAATTGGCTATCGCTGTCCATTCGACTATTTGCGATCAGTGGAATATGTCCCACAGTCATCTGCCCCACTTGCGGTGGGAAAATGGAAAGCACAGAGCTCAACAAATTTCCAATTAAAGTTTGTTTTTAATTAACAACTCCGGCCACTTACTATTTATTGTCGCAGGTAAACTAGATCCGAGTCGCTCCACTCGTATTTTAGCGGCTCAATTTCGCTGCTTGCTCTCGGCCACGTTGTTGATACACTGAGAGTCCTGTTTGGCTGCTTTGGCTGTGGACAGGACTCGATTTCCCGACCACCAAAGTCCTTGCGCAAATCCTGTTGCATGCACCCACCATCAAGCTTACATGCATTCGTATTTGTGTGTGTGCGAGAGTGTGTGTGTGTGTGTGGGTGGGTGTGTGTTGCGAGCCTAATTAAAATTCTGCATAGCATTTAATGACGTTGATGAGAAAACGTGCTCAAGACAGCGGAAATTTCCATTTAATTAAAATTTGCAACAAAAACAAGAAGGGCGCCATAGTCAACGACACTTAACCTGAAACCGACCCCCCTCCAAAAAGTGCACGTGTAGGCATTATGTTCAGAAAAAAGTATAATCATAATGGGTAACCTTTCTCAAAATGTCGTAATTCGCTGAAACTGAAGGGGTAATGAGTGCGAGTGTGCACGCTCAATCTCACCTCTTTAACTTCCTGGAAAGCCGGACAGATCAGAAATATATATTTCATTGGGGCGGAAGTGCGTCCCTCGAATGCAATATCCCTATTTTTATGAAGGGAATCGCAGAGTTGCATGTACATTAAAAAACTAACTGAAAACGGAGGTATCATGGTTTAAATTGTCCATTCAATTTCGTTTAAAATGTGTTTTAACTGTTTCTGAGGGTTTACATATTTCCGTTTCAATTTTAATTGCAAGTATCAGTTTCGAGCTATTCTGCGATTATAGAGAAAAACTTTTTACAGTTGCGATTCAAAATGAAAGTTTAATCTATTGATTACATAAAATAAGTTGAAAAAAATAATAGAAAGTTAAAAAGTACATGAATGGTACTATTAAGCATTAAACCTTGAACTTTTTTAAAGATTAAGATATTCGAAATAAGTAATATATCAAGTAGTTTTAAATTTAAATTTTTAAACAATGAATTATCATACTCCAAATTATCATATCCTTGGTTTTAAACAGGTCATGGGTCAAAGTTTTTGGGAAGTGTGGAAATACAATACCGTGTGCAAATAATCGATGCAATCAAATGAAAAACAGTTTTGGCATTTGTTTGAAAGTTTCTTGTCATTTATTCATATTTTACTTTGTGTTGCTTGCCATACAATATTTTGGTTTTTGGGTTTTAATTTATTACATTTATTGTATGTTTGCTGAATGTTGGTTTAATGTTTACCTCTGCTGTGTATGCGGGTTTTTGTATTTATGCTTTTTATGCCCTACAATTGAACTAGAATTAAATAGAAGGGTTTTGGCATGGCAGCGGATGCATAATTTTTCCTTGTTTTCCGTAGAGCATAACAAAGCTATGTTTAATTTGTTTCCTCTGGCTTTGGGTTTCTTGTCTTTATTTAATGTTGCCTCAAGTTCGATTTTTCCATTTTGATTTTCATTCTTACTGCCTTCTTACATCTCGAGTCGTTCTTATTGTTTGCTTCCTAAGTTGCTGCATGCGTAGTTCTTTTGTTTTGCATATAACAAGATTAAAATATTTGAGCAGCCCGGGGAAAAGGGCGGTTCGGGGGCAGAACTCCTTAAATATCCTTTGAGTCCTTTCTTGAGTTCCTTCTGCTGCTTACTTAATTTTCTAGAAATTCTTTAGCCATTCTATTATAATTATTATTTAGCTTTCTGTCCTGCATCTGGGTTTTCTCGCAATGCATACTGTGTTTATTCGCTAAAGTAAATCGTTATGTGTATTCCTCGACTAAAGCTTAATATATTCCGAACCGAAAAATAGGAAAACCATACTCATACAGTTAACTATGAGAAAAAAAATTGTATACATATTTGAATATATACGTATATGAAACTCTTGGAGTTTTGCTAACAATAATGCATACTTTGGGGCCTGCGCTTAGACTAGTTAATTTTATTGTTTTACCGTTATTTAATTAGTTAGTTATTTATGGTAATATGTCTCGTCGCTCGCATCTCGTTTTACTCGTATATAACTAATTTATCTCTGATTCCTCAGCGTTCGGTCTAAAAAAAAAACACAAAAATCCTCTCATACTCGTACATTATCCATTTACTAAGTCTAGCTCAAAAAAAATATTTCGTGTGTGTGTGTGTGTGTGCCTTTCATTATAGTTATATATAATATATTTCTGTGTGTGTGTGTAGTTCTTATAGATAGCTTTTTATGGAGCTTTATTTGATTAAGATGCAACATGTACGGCTGTGATTTCGCTTTGATTCCACTTTATTTACATTGAAAATTCCGCGATGCCTTCCGCTTTTGATTTCGCATAGTGTTCTATTTCAATTGTCATAACTAAACGAACGTTAAACGCATCATCGTGATTATCACTAACCTAGATTTCCTCTCTCCTTTCTATATTCATCATTCCGTTTTTAGTTTTTGGTTTTTGGTTTTTTCGTTTTTGTTTCGGGGTTTCGGATTTGGCTCTCCCGTCGTAAATTAAATGCATTTTGGGCACATTGAAAACATAAAAATGCTTTTGCATTTGCCTTGATTGGTAAAAGTTTTGACTCCATTTGAAATATGAAATATGAGACTTTTTTTTTAAGTTTTTTTTTTTTCTATGGATTGCTGATTTGCTCTGAGGGAGGCAGGGTGTGCTGAAGTGGATGAACTCACACAATTCACATGGAATTCCAATAAATCACGCTATCCATTTAGTTATTAAAAGCGGATTTTATTGTTGAGTGCCTAAAATTGAGTCGACAAATGCGGTAGATCCGCTTGAAACTCACCTATTCTTAAATGAGTTGGCCAAATGAGTTTTCTGCGAATTCGCAGATGAGCAGGATGTTAACGATGCATTTGCGGGGAACATTAGTGATTTCTATCGTTAATCGAAGTAAATACATTCTACACGTTTGGAACTTTATTATAATTATTACATTAATCAAAATAATACTATTTTTGTAGAGAACAGTGTGGCCAAATAAAATGTGGATTTGTTTTTAAGCTTAACAATGGGGAATCCCCAAATCTTAACCAAGTGAAATATTTATGGTCTTCTGTAAGTAATACAAAACTCGAACGTGAATAACTACTCATTAAAAACTGCTTTGAAAACGTGTGGAATTTCGAAAAGAGTCGCATTTGGGGACGTTTTATAAGCTGAATGTGGAAGTCATTGAAACGTGTTTACTTTGGAAAAGACTCCCAAGAGTATCTACTGTGGATCGTAAAGTGTGCTTGCAGTGGTTCACCCCCACTGTGGCAGCTCCCCCTCTGTGGCAACTCCCCCACAGTGGCAACTCCCTTTGCCCCCGCTCACTTCCGTGGGGCAAAGAGCAACGCCTAATTATTTACTTGGCCTTGGGGTGGTGCGACTAACACACGCTCAAGTGGTTCGTATTGAGCACCACTCCCGCCGCCATGTAACCATTGTTCTGCCGGTGGGCATGGCCGTGGGCGTGGCTGTGATTGTGGTTGTGGGCGTGCGGGTGGGCGTGGCCGCCCTCCAATGGGTTGTCGGCCACCATAACGCCCACACCCACGCCCACCAGGGGACTGCCCGCCTTGCCCAGCGGCACTCCGTTGATGGGAACGCCGCCGACGGGCGTGGTGGCCGTGGTGGTGGTGGTGCCGGTGCCCGTGCCGCCGGTGCTCAGGCTGGTCCCACTGATGTGGGCACTGATGCCGCTGGGCACACTGGACATGTGCGGCGAGCCCCCAGCCTCGTTCGCATTGCTCGCTGCCGCCGCAGCCGCCGCCGCTGCCGCCGCCACTGCCGCCGCCGCCGCTCCTGCATTGGCCGCCGTCCGGGTGAGCTCCTCGTTGGGAATGGAGAAGTGGCGGTAGGATATGTACTCCGGCGGGAGAGCGGCCTGCCGCTTGGCGTTCTCGATGCGCTGCTTCTTCAGCTTCACGTAGCTCAGCACCGAGATCATCACGATGAACACCACGATGCCCAGGCAGCAGCCCACGATCAAGCCGAGTCGCCTGGTGAGGATCGAGTGGATGAACCCGTTGCTCGACAGCCCGTTCTCGTCGGTCACCAGACTGGGCGTGGAGTCGAGCGTCTGGACGTCCGTGCAGGCGGAGATGTGCGAGTTCTTGAGCACCTCCAGCAGTGCGTGGTCCACCCCAACAGCGTTGTCCATGTCCTGCTCCGGACTCTGCTCCTGGACCATGGCTGCATTGCTATTACCGTTGGAGTTCCTATGGTGCTGGTGCTGATAGGGGGAGAAGGACTCCGGCAGGGGAGCGGACATCATCAGGGCCTCCTCCTCGCGCAGGGACTCGTTGGCGTGGAGACGCTGCAGCGCGTTGGCCAGCTGCTCCGAGAGCCAATTACCGCTCCCGATGACGCAGATGTGGTAGCGGGTGTTCGGGCTCAGCTTGGTGAGCTTCGTCGAGCTGGCCGTTCCGTTCAGTCGCTTGCCGTGGATCTGCGGAATAAATTAAGCAGGTTGCCAGACGGTTATTGTCATCGCCATGAAGCCAAAGTCGTTTCATCCCTATCCCTATCCCCATTCCCATTCCCATTCCCACTACCAATTCCATTCCCTATACCATTTCCATGATGTCGATGCTGGTGCCGTGTCGCTTTATTAAACACTTCCCCTGCGGGCCTCCACTTTCCCTGCTCGCGGTTTATCGACGGAACCCAAAGACTACGGAGAGTCCAGTGCGTCGCAAGTGGTAATCAGCGGACGGAGCGGGGAGCAGGAAGGCTTCTGCCCTCTGAAGAGTACTTATCGGTGGGCAGTGGCTTATTGGCGGGCCAGCAGCCACAGGGTACTCCAAATACGCGGACAACAAGTGCCTAGAGCCTTGGGATGAGTCCAGAGGAAGACGAGCATATGGCCCTGATGAAAAGGCTCGGTGTAATGGTTTGCGGCAGAGAGCGAGTCATAAATGCTCGATAACGTGTAATCTAAATAGCTAAACTACTCTGAATAACTACTATTGAGGAAGTACTCGCAATTATAAAAAGGTCATTTCCATTTTTAAACTGGTAGCTCATACAAGAGCTAAAACAAGAGTTTAGCTGCCTCGTTTCCAACTTTCCCAGCCACTCTACCTTTAAAGGGACAAAATTAAATTTCTGCCTGCAGCAGGTTGGGAGCCTCATCGCAGATCGAATGTGGCACAATGTCCATGGTGACCTGTTCCCCCTTCCTTCTCCCATCATCACTCGGCAGTATTTGAGCGCTGGATTAAGCGTTTATTAAAGGAAACTACGCGGATATCTGCCTGCAGCGCAGACCGTCAAATTAGTTTTAAATTCGGTACACGGAAAACAAGAACTTAAAAGGAACTTGGGTTTTTATTCAAAGTGAAGCTTTGTGGGGTTAAAAATCTTGGGTATTCAGTTTACAACCGCCTGTTGCAGACTTCGGGAAATCGAATTTCTGAAACTCCTATCCGAGTTCCGAGGTAATTGAAATTGTTTGCCGTGTAGAAAGGCACTCACCTGATCCGTGGCGATGGGGAATCGCTCGCTGTCTCGCTCCCTCTCGCGCTCCCGTTCTCTCTCTCTCTCCCTCTCGCGCTCCCGTTCTCGCTCCCGGTCACGAGTGCGTGACCTGTCGGGGTCGTGACCCCGCTGCCCGTGGCCCTCCCGCTCACGGTCCGCTTGAGATCCGGCCGGAACGAGCCCGTCGCCGGTGGCGTGGTAAACAATTTCGAAGCCGGTGAGGCCGAGGTGGTCGCGACTCTGCCAGGACACGACCACCGAGTACGGCTGGATGTCCTGGATGGCCATTTTGGGTATTAGCGGGGCGTCGCAGAACTGCTGCGGCTCCATCCGGCCGAACACCTTGCCCCGCAGCTCCGTGGGGTGTTCGCACCTCAGGTAATTGCCGGAGTCGCCTCCTCCTCCTCCAACTCCTCCTGCGCCGGAGCCCGTGGCCAGCGACCATTTGCGATGATCCCGCAGCCATTCCCACAGCTTCTGGGCGTCGCAGCTGCAGTGCAGTGGATTCTCTGGAACGAGCAACAAATTGGCCATGACAACGGGCGACACACACACTCACACTCACGAGCACAGGGCCAAAGGGGTCGCTCTTGTGGTTCACAGTGCGAAACAGAATGGGTGGAGGTACGGGACTCATAATATAAAAAGGGTTATTCTCCTGGTTGGTTCGTATGCATAACCCACTAATGTGAAGTTATATTGAGTATAGATTGAAAGCTCTTTATACATTTTTGCTGCAGGACAACAGCCGAAAATCTTTGTAAGTTATGGCTCTATGTTCGACAGAAAAGCAACGGATGATGACCCGAACAACCACATTTGCAACATTAACTCTGAATGTTTAATAAAGAAAATATAAAGAAAGTCCTACCTTCAACACAAAAATCCTATACATGGCACAAATTTTATAGGTAAGTTTAGAAATACAACCTTTGACTGTTTTTAAATTATGTTGTTCTTCAAAAGAAAAACAATGATGTAAACCACCAAAACCTATTATTTAACTGCTGGCTTCCAAAAGATTTGTACTGTTAAAAATAATAAAAAAAAGTGTTGCCGCTACACGGGTGTTAAAGTGTAATATATATAGAGTAATATATAATAAAGGGAAACATATAATTCCGATGAGAGAACTTACCTTCCAGTCTGAGGGTCCGCAAATTGGTTTCCAGGGGCTTCAGCGGGTCCAGTGGGACCAGCTCAAAGTAGTTTTTGCGCAGGTCCAGCACGTGCAGCTTCCTCAGAAACCGGAAGGCGTCGTTCGAGAGGACCGTCATCCGGTTGCCCATGAGCAGCAGTTCCAGCAGGCCGTGCAGGTTCCTGAAGGTCTTCTTGGAGACGCGGTCCAGCTGATTGAAGCTGAGGTCCAGGGTTTGCATCTCCGAGAGGTCGGCACTGAACTCCTCGAGGTCCTTCAAAGTATTGTGAGAGATGTTGAGCAGGCGGAGCAGCCGAAGGCCCTGCAGGCGCTCCTTGGGCAGCATCTCCAGCTCGTTGACACTGAGGTCCAGGGTGAGCAAGTTGGTCAGCGACTTGAAGGCGCCCGGCGAGATCCGTGTGATTCGATTGTTCACCAGGTGGAGGTGCTGCAGGGCCTGGAAGGCCTCGAAGTCCTTGGAGGTGAGGATGGAGAGGTTCGTCTGGCAGATGTAGAGCTCCTTGAGGTACGGGTACCGCTCCTCCTTGACTGTGTAGATCCTGTTGATGGGGTTGCCAGTGAGGTTCAGCCAGGACAAGCGGGGAATGGAGACGTCCGAGAGAGCCGAGGAGGGAATCTGCAGGAACCGGTTGCTGGACAGGTCCACTCTCTGCAGGTTGATCGAGTGGCGCAGGAAGTTGGCCGGCAGGGAGAGCAGCAGGTTGCCACTCAGGTCCACGCTGTCCAACTGGGTGAGGTTCACGGCGTTGAAGCCGCTCAGTGCGGTAATCTTGTTGTCCCTCAGGACGAGTTGTCTCAGGTTCAGAGTGCCGCTCAGCTTGAAGAAGTCTATGGAGGCCAGCTGGTTCCTGGCCAGGTCCAGACTCTCCAGGGTGCTCAGGTTGTAGAGGGCGATGTGCGGGAACTCGGAGAGCTGGTTCCTGCACAGCCTGAGCTCCTTGAACACGTTCAGCCCGCTGAAGATGTTGCGGTTGATCTGCGAGAGCCTATTGTCGCACAGGTCCAGTCTCACCAGGTTCGTGTTCTTGGCGAAGAGCAGATCGGGAACCTGACCCAAGCTGCAGTTGGCCATCGAGAGCTGTTGCAGGGAGCGCAGTCTGTCGAACATGCCCGCCATGATGCCACCCGAGCCCACGTGGCTGAAGTTGTTGTGGTTCAGCTGCAACCTCCTGAGGTTCGGAATGTCCAGCTTCTGGACGTCCGCGGGGTTCAGCTGGTTCCTCTCCAGATTAAGTTCGTTGAGGTTGGTCAGCGACTTGAAGGCGTTCTGCTCCAGCTTCCTCAGCGAGCAGTTGGCCAAACTCAGCGAGTTCAGGGGCAGCTCGTCCAGGAAGACGTCACGGGTCAGTTGGACCAGTGGATTGTGGGAGAGGTCCAGGGACTTCAGGTTCTTCAGCTTGGCGAAGGCGTACCCCTCGATGGCCTCTATGTGGTTGCGGGCCAGGCTGAGCTCCTCGAGGCCCTGGAGTGGGGCGAAGTAGTCGCGCCTCAGCTGGCGCAGCTGGTTGCCACTCAAGTCGAGGAACTGCAGCTGCAGCAGGCTGACGAAGGTGTCCTTCTCGATGTCGCGGATCCGGTTGTCGCTCAGGTAGAGCCTGCCCAGCTGGGGGGTGTCCGCGAAGAAGGAGCGCTCCACCCTGGCCAGCTGGTTGTCCTTCAGCCACATGATCTGCACCTTCTGCTGGCGGCGGAAGGTGCGCGGGTGGACCTTGTGCAGGTAGTTCGCCTCCAGCTGGACGGAGAGCAGCGAGGAGTTGTCCTCGGGGAAGATGTCCTCCAGCACGGTGAGTTGGTTGTCCTGCAGGTTGATGTGCTGCATGTTGTCCAGGGTGTGGAAGGCCTGCGGCTCGATGTCCTCGATGCTGTTCTTCTGGATGTGCAGCTCCTGCAGTGCGGGCAGTGGTTCAAAGACCCCCTTCCTCACCCGCCGGATGCGGTTGTTGTGCAGCCGCACCTCGCGCAGATGCTCCAGCTTTCGGAACATGCCGATCTCCAAGTCCTGGATCTCGTTGTTGTCCAGGGACAGCGAGGTTAGCCTGGTGCTCTTGTCGAAGAGGGTCACCGGCAGCAGGGGGATGAAGTTGGAGCGCAGGTAGAGGTGGTCCAGGTTGACCAGCGTGCTGAAAACATTCGGATCCACGTGGGCGATGGCATTCGACTCCAGGTAGATGACGTCCACGTTCGTGGAGTTGGTGAACGCGTCCGCTGGAAGCTCCAGGATGTTGTTCTCGCTGAGGAAGACCTCGCGCAGCTGGGGAAGATCCGAGAAGACGCCTCCGATGGCGTGGATGTGGTTGTGGCTAAGGTCCACCGTCTGCAGCCGCTTGTTCCGCTCAAAGACCTTCGGATCCAGAGCCACTATCCTGTTGTGCGACATGTCCAGGGACATCAGCTCCCGCAGGCTCTTGAAGGCCTCCGGCTGGACGAGCTCGATCTGGTTGGCGTAGAAGGAGAGCGTCTTCAGCTGCGGAAAGGCCCGGAAGCAGTCGTCCCCGATCTCGGCGAAGAGGTTGGAGCTCAGGTCGAGGAAGATGAGCGAGGGCAGCTGGAACGCCACCGCCGCCGCTGCCGCCGCCGAGGCGTTGTTGGTGGCCAGCTGGATGTCCCCGTAGAAGGTCGGTATCCGGTTGTTCGACAGTCGCAGGATGCGCAGGTGGTCCAGCTTGCGGAGCGCCATCAGCGGGAAGGTGCGCAGTCCGTTCTCCGAGACGTCGATCTCCTGCATGCACTCCTCCAGTCCCGCGAACGCGTGCTCCGGCATCCCCTGCAGCCGGTTGCCCTTGAGGTTCAGCTTGGACAGCCTGAGGCCGTAGAAGCTGTAGTCCTCCACCCGCACGATCTCGTTGTAGTCGAAGTCCAGCGCCGTCAGCTTCTGCATTGCGCTTAACGCGCGGGAGGGCATCTGGAATTCGAGAGGGGGGAATTAATTGGGAAACTAAATAGGTTTCTTAACCCAGTAAATCAAGAAGTTCAATCAAGTGTAAGTAGGAGGCTTTATGTAGGATCACGTATTGGAAACCCAAATCTACATAGCCATGCAAATAGATCCTGCTCTAAGATCACGATTTAAAATACACCAATCAGCACCATTATTTTGACTTTGCGAAGAGCCAGTTTGTTTTAACATTCTCTTTTATTATATTTCATTTTGGTTATTTTCTATGCTTAAACTATTACTATACCTATTTGAAAATTAATTACTCTAACAAAAAAATATGTGCTCCTTTGGTTTGGATAGAAACAAATTCCGGGAATTCAACTCCTTTTTCCAAAGTCGGTTCAGCGGTTTTATTTAACTAGTATTTACTATAAATATGGAATCTGTGGCGGCCAATCAAGTACTTTCACAACTTCACTCAAAACGTTGAATAGTTGAATGTTAGCTATGTCAAAATAAATAAATGCAAACAAGTGTACTTTTGGTGTTATTTTAAAGCTGACAAACAAAAGAAACCATTCTTTGGCCTTCTCCCAATTAGCCATGTTTTCAATCTCGTTAAGGTTTTGGTTTATTTTTATACCAATGCAAGCAATAGTAACTTTACCTATATTAAAACTTTCGAACGATGTGATGAATTCTCAATGATTTTCGACCCTAATCGTGAGTTCTTGAATACGAAAAGTAAACTCCCGTGTATGAAAAACCCATGCATAAAGTATTATTGACAGAAATGCTAATGTCAACAATAAATTAAACAAAGGCACACTTATCATAAAGTGGAACTTATTTCACAGTTTAATATCATGTTGGTTTTGATCAGATCGACTTCATTTCTTCTAGGTGGCCTTTTCTTACCACTATTGAATTTCGGATAATTTTTCGGAATTTTCGGATTTGATCAAAATCGGATAACTCTATCATATAGCTGTCATACAAAAGATCAAAAAATATATATATAAATAATTGAAAAAAATTATAACGTCGTTGTTTTTAATCTCACGAGCATGATTTTTTTAATAACCCTTGAAGCGAGAAAAAAATTGCATTAAAATCCGACAAGATTATAATTATCACAGGGAAGATCGAAAAATCTACATAAAAATAGGGGAAATAAAATTACAACATCGTTGTTTTTCATCGGACAAGCATAATTGTTGGAATATGGTATTTTCTAACTACTCTTGAATTACATATTAAATTTCATCAAAATCGAACAACTATGTCATATAGCTGCCATACGAACAATTGTCGAAAATTTGGAAAATTACTTAATAGAAAAATCGTCATAGTTTCGATGTTGATTAGCCCTTATGCATTTTGATCGACATATTTGATGACATCAAGGATATATAACCTATCTTATATATATATACCTTTCTTTCTTGTTTTTCATACTTTCAACATCCCAAACAAATTAAAGCGTTGCTTTGTGGAGAAGCAAACAAAATTTATTGGCAACCGTTTAACTGAGTGTATTTCTTAAGTGTGGAAGAATTATTTCTTAAAAGTCTTTTGGCTCTACATTTTACTATCGAAATTAAAAATGAATTGGTCACTTTTTAGTACTTACTACTTTAAATAAAATTGTTTTTTTTTTTAATACGAAGGTATTTTTTTTGCGTAAAACCCATGTCGGTAAAGCTATTTCCATCGGTAAATATGCATACAAGTCTCGTGAAGTGTTGCCAAAAAAACATTTAAACGTCATTTTGCTTTGGCCACGTGCCACATGTGTTCTGTATTTGCTCGCCATTGTGGTAAACTTAACTTCATGCTTCCCCTTGCTTTGTGGGAAATATGTAATTAAAAGTCCCCATTGTGCAGCAGTTCCATGAGAAAAAAAAACGTTGAGTTCGGCCATTCTGGGAGCACCTTTTTACCACCTGGAGCATCCGATGCTCGCTTTTGTGCTTGTTTGCTCACCTGTTTTGACCGATTCACCTGTCCGTCATTGCAAAACAATTAAATTGCCTCTGCTGCCAATAAATTGAAAACTAGCACGAAAACTTTGCAAACAAAACGGGTTTTACTGATGTTAAGCTCTTATTTGTCCAGACAATTTCTGTGTTCTTTTTTGGATTTCAGTACAAAGAAGAACACAATGTCCAGTTTTAGATCGAAATGTTAATAAACATTCGATTTTTAAATTCCTCTTATTTATCCATTTTCGAAGAAACACATTTATTTGTCATCTTTCTAAGTCAACGATTAATTGACTGGCTGTTCTTGAAATTTAAGTTCACTCAGACATTTATTTACGTAAAATAAAATGTTCTCCAAGAATTACAAGTTTATGTGAGAAGTATATTGCAGTTGAAATTGGTTCACTAGGATAAGTAACTAATACCTCCCAAATAAAGCCTAGTTAAAGGTCTTCGAATACACTAGAAACTCAACCTCATTCCTTTGATTAAAGTTATCAAATGCAAGGCAGTTTTCCATATAACTCACATTGTAGGTATCAGACCAATAAAATTAAAAATCTCTGATACAACACCTTTGTTTTAGCCTAGCAGTTTCAAAAAATTTTTCATTGACTGCAAGGGTATACGAACTTCGGCAACATTATTTCTTTTTTTACAACTATGTAAATGAAGTATTACAGCTCTTATTTCAGTTTAAGGATGCTGAAGGTGACTCTAAGCAACTACTGAAAGTTTACCTTAGGCTTTTGAATTTAAAGATTTAGTTGCATTATTTTAAAGTAAATAATAATATCTCTATCTTAACCCACAATTAAATGATGATTTGATTTTATTTGGCACTGCGTGGAAGTATATTAATTAACCAGAGTGGTGTTTGAATAATATCCCCATTTTCCCAAAAAGAAAATTACGTAGCAAGATGCTCTGTAAATCTCCATTTGTATTGAAAGTGTTGCTCAAAAAATGAAAAAAAAAAAACGTCTGGCCGGTTGCTGATCATCTTGGTCATCGTGGTTATCATGGTCATCCTGGTTATCGCGGTCATCCAGGTCACCAGGTTCATCCTGACATCTCACCCGCTGCCACAGTGTGGCCCGCCTAAGGCGAACGCGAGGTGGCGCGGTGATACTGGCCGTAGCGCGGCGGCGAGCGGGAGCGGGAGCTCGAGCGGAAGGGTCTGTAGTAGCGCGATCCGGAGCGGTTCGGGGAGCGGGAGCGGGAGCGGGAACGGGAACGGGAGCGGGACATGGAGCGGGACATCGGGGAACGGGACTGGGACTGGGAGCTGGATCCGGAGAGCGGACGCTGGCGGCGGTTGACCGGCGAGTAGCGGCGGTACTGGCGCCAGGGCTTCTTGAGCATGCTCTCCTGGAAGGCGGACACCGTGATCCGCTTGCCGTCGATCTGGCCGCCGTTCATGTGCTTGATGGCGCAGGCGCAGTCCTCCGGACGGGTGTACTCCACGAAGGCGTAGCCACGCCCCTGCCGCCCCTGGAAGCGGTCCTTGGGGAAGTCGACGGCGTTCAGCGGCCCAAAGTGTCCGAAGATCTCGGTGATGTGCTCCTTGGTCACCTGGCGGGTCAAGCCCTTGATGTGCAGCCGCACAATGCGCACCGGTTGGCGGAAGCGGAAGGATTCCCTTCCATTGCGGTAGCCCATTTGGTGACCCTCTTGATCGCCACTTGCACTCCCTCCTCCTCCTCCTCCCCGTCCCCTTCCTTCTCCTCTGGCTGCTCTCTCACCTACTCCGTCTCTTTCGCCTACTCCTCCTCGTTCGCTTCCTCCTCTCTCCTCTCCTCCTCTTTCACCTCCTCCTCCTCTTTCACCTCCTCCTCCTCTTTCACCTCCTCCTCCTCTTTCGCCACCTCTTTCATTTCCTCCTCTTTCGCCACCTCTTTCATTTCCTCCTCTTTCGCCACCTCTTTCATTTCCTCCTCTTTCGCCACCTCTTTCATTTCCTCCTCTTTCGCCACCTCTTTCATTTCCTCCTCTCTCGCCACCTCTTTCATTTCCTCCTCTTTCCCCTTCTTCGAATGCAGTGCTGCGCCGCTGACTCCACTGGAAGCCCATCACGTCTCGCCCACCCAGCATCCTCGGCTCCGGAATAGTGGGCGTGGCAGATCCGTGACGTAGATGTTCGTTGCTTGGGGATCTGCCCTTCGATATAGAGCGGCGTGGCGGAACCTTGACGCGCTCCTTGGCCACCTGAATTGTCTTGGTGACACTGCTCATCTGAGAAGGCTTCGCCGGCGGATTGACCTCGTTGCTCTTGGGCGGCTCCTTCAAATCCGGTGCAGCTTTAACCTGGCTTTTGCTCTGGTAGCTCTGATTGATTTGGCTTGATGCCTTGCTGACCGTGGGAATAGCAAGGCAAGTTGTCTTCTTAGTCGGAACTTGGAGCGACATCTTAACACTCTTGGGCGCAATTGGCTTGACTTTCGGCTGACTGGAGCTGCTGGGGAGGCTCTCCTGGGCGGACGGCTTGCTGGCCACCGGACTGACGTGTTGCTGGCCACTGGAGCTGCTGGGGCAACGCAAACGATGCTTACTGGTGGCGGTGGTGGTGGTGAAGGTAGAAGTTCCTGCTGGAGCAGCAGGCTTAGTAGAAGGAGTGGGAGCAGGAGCCTTCACCGGAGAAGCCACCTTCTGTTGGAGGCTATGGGACTGGGAAATTGGTTGAGGCTTCGCATGCCCCTTCGGGTGGACCCTTCCATGCTGATGGGGATGCGGATGGGGCTCCAATGGGAGGAGAGCCGGAATGGGCGCCGGCACCGGCTGGGGAACGGGCGCCGGGATCTGGATGACGACGGGACCAGGCGGCTCCTCCTTGACCACCGGCGGCTTGGCGCTGGCGTCGCGGCGACTTTTGCGAGCGGCGCGCTTCAAGGAGCGTCCGTGGTCGGAGTGGTGGCGCCGTAAGCCGTGGCGACGGCGGTGCGAATGGGAATGCGAGTGGGAGTGCGAGTGGGAGTGACGCGGATGGTGGTGGCGCCGGTGGCGACGGTGGCGTCGGTGGTGGCAACAAGAGTGGCGGCGGCGCTCCGGCTTCTTGGCGGCGCCCTCCAGCTCCGGCTCGCTGTCGCTGGAGGAGGTGGAGCTGCCGGTGGAGCTGCTGTAGCTGCTGTAGCTGGTGAGGCTGCTCCAGCTTGTGGGCGTGGAGGAGGAGCCCGTGGAGCTGTAGCTCGACTCCGAGTGGCTCTCGCTGCTGCTGCCCACCTCGCTTTCCACCGAAGCGATCGAAGTCGCCGGCGAACTGTCCCTCGCTCGCGGAACGCCTCCTCGCCCCCTTTTCCCACCCCCTCCTACTCCTCCTCCTCCTCCTGATCCTGCTGATCCTCCCGCAGATCCGCCTGCTCCTCCCCTGGCGGCGAGGGACTCCCTGCGGTGCTTCCTGCGCTCCCGCCGATCCTTTCTGCGCAAGTGCGACTTGGACAGGGCGCCACTCTCCCTCTTCTCCCGGCGCTCCCTCTTCACAGCTGGCTCGCCCTCGTCCTTCCCCTTGCTCGCCGGCACCTTGGTCATTGCACCTCTGCTGCGAAAAGTTTCACGGGTCTCCTGGGCTTTCCCTACTTTCTCGGCTTTTCCTTTTCTCGTTTCTACTTTCCGTTTTCCGATGCTGCAATACTCACTCGAATGGGAATGCTGTTAAATGAGCTGTGCTGTCGGGAAAAACGGGTTGACACCTGTCATCGGGAGATCCAGGTGACCAGGCGATTGTTGCTCGGTTCCAGGGATGGGTTTAGGGTTGTCGCCTACTCGCAAGTCTGTGGAGCACTATCGAAAGTCCGAATTAATCGGTTGAAGCTCCACGACAACCCATTGAATTTTGTTTATGATACTGAAGCTCTATGAGACTCTATTGTTCAAGCAAACCGAAACTATTTTGTTTTAGAAGATTTTAGCAATATATTTATGACATAGATCAAATCAATTTGGTTTAAATATTTCAACAATTTAGTTGTTAATACACTGACTATTTGAGAGATCGAAATAGGTTTAGTTTTAATTCCAAATACAGCAAAAGCCGACCAGGCTACATCTTGTATTCAGAATAGAATTATAAAATTGTTCCAATTTATTTTGGTCATCCACTTTTAATTGTTTAATAAGTGCATTAGATATTTTATTCATTATCTTTTGTACAGATGCTTTTCTTTCTTAATATTTCATAATTATTATTTTTATATTATACATTTTTTTACCAAACTAAGATAATAGTTGTCTACATTAAATGTTTATAATTAAATGTATGTAACAACTTATTTGAACTTTTTTTTGCATTCACTGTTAGTTAATGTTAAAAGAGTGCAGTCAAAATAAAAAATTTGATGTTCTACAAATATTGCGGTAAACTTTGTTTTGCATATTTAATTTTAAAGTACGGTTACACTTTAAATTACGATCCGAACTCCCAAAAATCAATCATCTCTAAGTTGTTTTATTGCCATTGTTTGTTTTATTGCCAAAACATACAAGCAGAAATCGAGAACATGAAACACTGTTTGGATAAAATTTATTGAAATTGAAAAGCCCAATTGATTTTAAAGCAAAATACCGTGAGTTTCTCATTGAAAACCGTTTAAAATAGTATTGAAATTGCAATCATTGGGACTAGGTGCTCTAATACAGCCTGCGTATGATGGTTTATCTTGCAGTCAAATAAAACTAGTAGTATCAAAATCCGTCTCTCTGTCAACAACAAATTGCAAAAAACAATAAATATGCACCTGCTTTCATTTAAATTAAGGAGCGCTGTCTTCTCCTTTTAGAGAAATGCTGGACGTTTTGAAGGGAGATCCGAAAGGACAGCTGCGGGTGGCAACTGGAGTCGGTCGAGCTATTCAAACGCGTTCCCGTGATTCCTTTGAACGGGCAGCCGAGTGGGGACTTTTAATTGCATTGATTGAGCATTGAGCAGGGCTTCCACCTCACTGGCCCTGTGTGGACTTGCCCTGCTGCGAGTGGAGGAGCCAAAGGATCGAAAGGATGCAGATGCAGTGTCACCTGACACGGACAAAGCGAATTACGGCTATTTAATTAATGTACTGACATGGAAATTTATGGCAGTCGATTTTAATTTATTGAACCTTCGCGCTGCCGCTTGGCGCCTTGCGAACGCGGCCAGGACATCGAGCACATCGAGGACACCGAGGACACCCAGGACATGCGACTCCGCCCGACTCAGCTGAAATTTATGGCCAGTGGCTGGCCAGCGAAAAAATGGTCTGCCATAAAGGGATATTTATTTTTATTGTTGGCACATTATGAAATATTTATGGACGCTTTGAATGCCAGAGACGGCTACCGATTTGTGAGGACTGCCCTTCCCGCTCTGGGCGCCCTAATCCTTGCTGACGGGTCGCTTCCTTGGGGCACATTGTCCGCTGGCGCTGCTGCCTCCGGTGATCCGGCGGCACTGGCTCACACACGTCTCCCGGAGCGGCTCCCTTTCGGCGTTCCTCCGGAGGCAGTTCCTCTCTGGCAGGCGGCAGGGTCGCAGCTTGGTGCAGGTGTTCGTGCTCCTGTCGCGCACACAGAGCAGCTTGGGGTCCTGCAGGTCCTTCAGGGTGCAGCGGTCCCAGCAGCGGGATGGTCGCACAATGGAGTTCGCCTCGATGGCGGCCACAAAGGTGGCAATCACCAGGATAACAGCCAGTTTCGACATTTTGTTAATGTTTTTTTGGATCTGCTAGCGGATTGAGTGATACCTCTTCCAAAAAAGAACGCTTATTTATAAGTCTCTTCTGGCCGGAAAACCAGGTTCTTTTTCATCCAAGATAGCATGTGTTTTATTATCAGCGAGCCCCTTAATAAATTGAATATGTTCCATTGTTTGTTGTTCTGCATACGAACAGCAATGCCTCTTCACTTTGAATGCACAACAACTTGCTTGCACCACAATATTTTAACAAAAGAGCTTGTATTCCTCGTTAAAAGAATCACTGGTGAATTCATAAGTTGTGAAGTGTGAAATCTCTTTTGATGTCACCAAGAAATGCTATAAAAAGCGCCTACTATAAACCAAACAACTCAGACGTGTTGGTAAATTCAACTCGCGAGTAAAATATGGCCAAGGCAAATCTGAAATTGGTCTTGGGTATGAATTCCTGTATTTTATTGGAACTTATTCCCAGATAACTACAACTTAATGTTGCAATGTGTTCAAGGCTTCATCCTCATCGCGGTGGCCAGTTGCACGAATAGGACCACCACCACGAATAGGCCACGCCCCCCCTGCGTCCGCCCGCCCACGTGTTCGCTGCGCAGTCCGCGGGTCTGCGGTCGGTTCCCCAACGGCGAGTGCCAGCGCTTCGCGAACATCTGCTCCCTGCTGGCCGCGGATCGCCTGGTGAGCCCGGTCACCCACACCCCGGAGCTGGACTGTCGCGGGATCCGCGGGGTGGGCAGCGCTCTCCGGCGACCGTGCTACCACCCCTGTCCATCCCGCCCGGTGGTCTGCAGGAAGACGCCGCCGCGGGCGGAGATATGCGTCCGCTCCCGCAACCTGCAGAGCTGCAAGGTGCTGGCCAACAACTGCCAGCTGCTCAACCAGAACTGCCACTCCCGCCCCAGAAACAGTGAGTAGTTGGGGGAGGTCCTTGTGTCTTAGGTGCCTCAAGGGGGTGGGCAAACCCCACAGAGATCCTGCCTAAAATAGGACTAGGAGTACTTGACCCTGAAGTACCTCTTATAGATCTCTCGATATTTGATTTGAGATGCGCTTTGGTGACGACCTACTTCGACAGCCATACATAATTTCTTAGTAGGTGTTCCTTTCCAAGCAAACGTAACGATTTAAAAATGATAAAGAAGTGTTACAGGATTAAGTGCGAGCTGCATGACTTATTAGGCTTGGTGCCTGCTTTTCCCAAGCAGATCCCCTTATTATTGTAAAACATTGTAGTGCCAGAAAGTATAAAAAGGTTAAGGTATTTCAAACATGGCCCTTAAGTGTCACCTTTCCCCTATTATTGCATTATCCCCTCAGCTCATTAAACCTCTAAACGTAATTCCTTCCAGACTGGCACCGCACCGATAGACGCCGCTGTGGAAGACGACAGGTGGGCGATAAGCCAGACGTCTGCGAGAAGCTGCCCCCTCCCAACACTCCAGCAACAACAGGCAGGCCCACTATATAAACAATAACCCCTCGCAATATCTGAGCAATAACTTCAGCGGGTCAAATAAATCGGAATATAACTCGGAATGCTTATCCTTCACTAGCTTTCTGTTCGAAAGGAGTTTGGAGAAAATACTCGTTCAGTTGTTTCCCGCATTTTGTTCTGGCTTCTTGGCAACTTGATGGCGGTTTCGATTTATTAACTTCGACGACCGCCCGAACGCTCTTACCACACCTACACCCATCTCTTTCTCTTGAATGCAGCCATCTCTTTCTGAGCGTTTCCAGCTGGCCGACTTTGCCAGTTGCTCTCTCGCGCGCAAATTATTTTATTGAACGCAATTGTTTTTGGCTTTGGCTCGTTTGTTATTCGGCGGCGGCGGCAAATTACTTTTAATGGCTGGCGGCAGGCTTTTCACTTCCCATTCGCCGCTCTCCACTTGCCACTCGCCCCTGTTGAATGCGCATCTCTGGCTGCTGGGATGTCCGGACTCAGAGAGCGATGCTGGATCCTGGATATCCTCGCGCAGCCGTTGCGGCGGCTGTTTTTCCAAATTTAATGGCTTAGAAAGCCATTTGCATTTTTTGGTTGCCCAACTTTGTTTAACATTACTCGGCGCCGTATGTTGCAGCAGGGTGGCAGGATATGGAGCGGAGTTCTGGCTGCCCGATCTCGATCCACATCCCGTCCCAGTTCTCGATGGACTAATTAGCTCTGTCGAGCCCACCGCGAAATGCAATTTGGGCGTCGTGTGGCGAGTCCTTAAATGCGAAAGTCCCTCTAACTCCCACACAACGGCGACCCAGTTTTGTAAATTGAAAACGAAAGTCAAGAAGTTAACTTCGTTTACTGGGGTTTCCCATAACGTAAACTACATTTTCTTCCCTATTTCACTATGTTAAAGTGAAATGCATGCAATAACCAAGTTTTTGAGTTGGAAGGTTTTTAAGTGACACCCATACTCCTTCTAAATCACGTATTATATTGAACTCACCTGCGTCAGTTTGCCGTTGACAATGCTGAGGGACTCCAGGCTCGAGCGGACGTTCCGCAGACTGTTGTCCTTTAGCGCCTCCAAGTGCGAGTGGGAGAACTGCAGGTGGCGGATGTGGACGCCCGGCTGGAAGACGTCCTGCGAGAGTGACGTCACGGAGCGGTCGAAGTCGTAAATGGAGAGCGAGTGGATCGGCGCCGAGATTCGCTCGAGGGTCGAACGCAGCGATATCGCCGTTGTGCCAGGACACTCAAGGAATAGTCCTGCGGATTGAGCAAGTGCAATAATGTAATTAGCATGCACAATAATAATATAAATTTAAAATATATATGTCCCTCCGCAGGTGCTAATCAACACTCAAAGTTAATGTAAAGTCAGTGCACAGATTTGTTTAAAAGTCTACCGAAGGTTATCATCTTGTTACGAAGCTTAAAATAATTTCCAAAAACAAATGCAACATATATGGTATAACAAAAAATACGTTGACAATCTGAACTTTGCTACAATCAAGGTACAAGGTATTCAGAATATATAATTTAGAGTTTGTACTTATCATTTCAAACCAGCTTAAATTATAAACACACTTAAGAAAAATAATAAATACGTTATTAACACTGTTCAACAAATTTTAAACTTTCTTCATGTTGGCGCGAGGTTGAAAATCAAGCCAAGAAATGGTCTTGAAAAATATTTGGGGCTGTCAACACTTTTAAAAAACATACTTTTGGGCAGAGCCCAAAATTCTTTTAAGCAAACTGTTACGTCTGTCTAACATCTACTTCACATTCCTGGATGGATGGAACGGAATTCATTTTTATGTTGTAAACTCAATAAATTAAGGTTTTAAGTTTTGTTCAATATAATTATTATATATACCTATATATTTATCTTAATTTAATTTTGGGAATACAGGAAGTTTGTTATTGAAAATATAATTAAGTTTTTCCTTAAATGGATTGTGAAAATAACATAGCAAAAAATAAAATAAGTGTGCTTTTCCCAGTTTAATCGTTCATTTAAAACAGAATCTGTGCATTGTTTTAGATTATTTCTCCCAGTGTTTGGTGTCGCCGCAGATGCCTTCTGGGGACTCGCCCCCATCCTTCCCACTTACCATCCTCGAACTTGTAGCACGGACAGGCTGTGTTGTCGAAGCTGGGGCACTCGATCCCGGCCGCTCCCCCGCCTCCTCCTACTCCTCCTGCTCCGGCACCACCGAATCCCGGGGCGCTTCCTGCGGCACCTGCTCCCCCTCCCCCTCCCCCTGCACCGCCCCCTCCTCCGCTGATGGAGCCAGAAGCTCCGCCGGGGGAGGCCACGCCCATTTCCGTGAAGAGGAGCTCACGCGCCGAGCCTTTGGCTCTGGAGATCCTGCCCGAAGGTGTCATCGAGGCTGCGGTGCCCGGGAGCAGCGGCAGGACGACCAGGAACTGGACGAGCAGCAGCAGCAACCACAGGACATGCTGCTGCACGCCGGCAACATTATTGCGATTTCGTTGCTGTTGCTGTTGCAATTGCTGTTTCAGTTGCTGTTGCTGCTGTTGCTGTTGCTGCTGTTGCTGTTGCTGTTTGTGTTTGCCTTTGCATTTGGTGTCTGTCAATTTGGTCTGCTGTTCGTGCTCCTTGGCAGCCGCCTGTTCATTTGTCCCCATGGCCATTTGCTCTATTTGATGTCCTTGTTGCTGGCGCTGATTATGCTGCTCCTGATGTTGTTCCCCCTGCTGTTGTTGCTGCTGCAGCAGTTGCTGTTGCTGTTGCTGTTGCTGTTGCTGCTGCAGTTGCTGGTGTTGCTGCTGCAGCTGTGGCTGCTGCTTGTTTTGACGTTTAGCTCGTTGTTTTTGCGGCACGGGGTTCCCCCGATTCCGATTTTCCGATTCCTTTTCCTTTTCGAGGACTGCTGTCGCCTGTTCGTTTGTTGACTTCGTGCATTTCGCTAATAAGTTTACCAGCGTCGCTGTCGTTCTTGAATCGCTGCCTCTGCACATTTTCCTCGCAATTCCTTGTCACTCTATCTCGCTGTCTCTGTCCCTCACTTCGTCTCCTTCTCTTTCTGTTTGCGTTCGCCGTCTCTTTCAGCCGGTCTCAATCAGCGTGTCGCATTCGCCTGTGTGCCTTCCAGTTGCCATATCCCTGCAAAGGAGGAAAGATCGGGCAAAGTAATTAATAAGGTGGAATCGTAACTTCTCCACGAATCGCTTTCTAAAGCAAACTTCGCAAGAGCGGATGCATAAACTCCAATGCCTAAAACTGATATCCATTTAATGAAGTTGAACCATACCAAAAACCCTTAAAGTTAGTGTTAGAAACTATTTGTTACACCGAATTAAATTCGTTAAAAAAATATAGATTTTTTTCATTACTAAAACTCAGCCCAGATAGCTTTAAGTCTAGGTTTAATAAGCATATATATTATATAGCCTGATGATACTATAATATAATGCTTTGGGGTTTTCTGACTAAAATAATAATTCCCCTTGCAAGGTTTTGAAAACCAGTTGCGAACAAAAGAACTAGTTAAAAATGTAATTAAAGTGCTAATGCAAAAACCCCATTACGGCTTAATTATACAGCAAGTTAATAGTTCCCCGAGTGAGTATGAGGGACCATAAAGTCCTGGCACAGGACTAACCTATATATCCTGGCTTCCCGACCGCCGTTTTATTTGTCCTCCGAGCACCCTTCAAGTTTTTTTTTTCTTTCTGCCACTTTATGCCAACAGCATTAGACCATTTTTTGCCGGACTTCCATCGTTTGTAATATGAATTATTTTCCAACGTGCCTTTTCAGCTATTTTGCCTACATTTTCCCACTCCAGCACTTTCGTTCGTTTCGTTCCTGTTTTCAATTTTTATGCTAGTCGTCTCCCAAAAACGAATTTGTGTCAAGTTCGTGAATTTTTGTCAGTTTATTTCTGGCCCCTAATTCACCGAGTTTTCCCCTCGTGGGAGACGGTCACGTCGTCATGCTTTATTATTTTATTTTATTACATAGTCGTAGTTGCTCGCTCGTTTTCTAATTAATGCGTTTTTTCGCTTCTCCCCATTCAATTCCATTCCGGGGCCATTAAAGCCCATTAAAATTATGGCAGCTAATGCAGCCGCAGGGCTGCCCGTCGTCTTAACCGGAAATTTCCTTGGCGGCGAAAAAAAAACGTTGGCGACAACGTTGACGTCGCCAGCAGCGAAATATTAATTATTCCGAATTTCCGGCCAGTGGAATGACAGCGAACGGATTAGACTCGAAGGAAGTACAATAAATCCCTTATTTCTATTTCCAGGACAAACGAACAATGGCTATTAAGGCCAGGCTAAAAATAACGGGACATAGTTCACATACATATAAACTAGTACGTCAGAGTCCACATATACAACTATATATAAAGAGCCAAAGGCTTTTGAAAATACCCTTGCAGTTAAAACTGAAGTATCTTTTGGATATCTTTGTAGCAAGAATTGAAGCTATGTTTGTTCCAGTACTTAAATTGTAAGTTATTTAGTAAGCTGCATAGGAGAATTGTTAGTTTTCCTTTTATTCCCCATTGTACTTACTTGTTACTTTTTATACTATACTTTCTTGTGCAGTATTTGCATTTTCTTTGTTAAAAAAAACTATAAGAATAGAGATTTTGGAAACTAGATGAGCTAAATTATTGGAGCGTCAAAATATTACTACCACTTTTAAACCCTCCCATAGAATATGTTCCCAGAAACTGAAAGAAGATGTCTATAACTATACTTGAATGTTTCGAAGAAGTTTCTGTACTCCAATTCTGACTGAAATTATAATATAATTTGCAATGGTGAAAGTGTGTAGATTTCTTTGCAGAACAAGGAGAGCAAACTTCACATTGATTTAAGCTCACAGAACCTTCCTAAAACTAACATATAACATTTATCATTTCCTACATCTCAATTTTCTTTCCAATTTAATTTCCACCAAATTAATTCTAGGCTATAGAACATATGTTGGTTTCAACCTCGGATCAAGCTTCGCCCGCTGTAAATGTGTCATATTGTTTTTAAGGTATTCCAACATACACGAGCAGTATTTACTCCACTTTAAACCCTCGACTGGTGAACCCTTCACCCTTTTCAACCACGAGCACCACCCCCTTTTCCTCTCCTCCTCTCCACCTGTTGCAACACCTGCATTTCCCAGCCCTCGGGCAACCGCTTTCCTGTCGCTTTCAGCCACGGATGTCCCGCGGGGACTTGAAGCTCCGCCGGCGACCTCTTCGATGTTCATCCCTTGGCCCGCGGGATTTCAATTAGTGGCCATGACAACTAAAGTTTCGCTACGGCGTGTCTACTTTATTTTTTCATTATCCGGGCGGGTTTCGTGTATTTATTTGAGTTGGGCTTCCCAAGTTTTCTCCCGGTCGGATGGCAAGTCACTCCGCTTCTGTGTCGGTCAGTCAGTCAGCCAGTCAGTCAGTCAGTCAGTCAGCCAGTCAGCAAGTCTCTCAGGCTTGACTCGCATTTGCGGATAATTAAAAGTTAATTGAGTAAAAACAAAAGCCGGTAATGCAATTGCATCCGCAATTGACAAACGAAATCGAAATTATGGCCGCGGCAAGGCGCTGAAATCAAATATGCAGTGGCAATTTATTTAACGCGGCCAAATCAATAAATCCCAATATGGATAAATGAATGCAAAACGTGGCCTGCGAAAACAATTAAAAGCCAGTTCAGTGGAATCCCAGTAAGCAGAGGGACACGCAGGATGCGGATTGGAGCCACAGGATGACCAGGTATTTAAAAAAACATTGCTGAATGGATTTTTTAAATAGAAACGACAGGTAGGCCTTGCTTTTTATCAGGCGAATGTTTGTATCGCATTAAAGGCGATACTACCGAGAGAAAAGCTATACCTTTTCTCGGAAGGCCTCTTTAAGTGAGTCGATATAGACATGCAAGTTTGTCATTTCTTGAGCTATGTCTATGACTATGACTATCTATATCAAAGATCGACAAAATATATGTCAACGCTATCTAGCAACAATAACCATAAAAACTCTGATATGTCAATTGTTTACCACATAACCATGGGAACCATGCAAAATATTTCAATAAAATTGATTGAGAAATTGTCATAACTACGGTGTTGTAAACCAAACACGCATTGAGATGCAGCTCGTGTTTATGGTCTGGAACAATTAAATATGTAATATATCTATAAGAACCTGCTATACAAAAATCAGGAAAGGAATGAGCAACTCGAAAATCGAAAAACTTAATTATGGGAGAATACTTATTTCGACGCATAGACGTTATTTAACCATCCAATCTTTTTCTAAAATACTCTAAACAAGAAAGGAAGTTAGCTTCGGCAAGCCGAAGCTTATATACCCTTGCAGTCAAATGAAATGTGTCGAACAAAATGCATAAAGACTAAACAACATCGAAGCTTAGACGATTTTTCTATTCATTTTCCATATTTTCGACTATAGATCATATGGGAGCTATATGATATAGTTGTTCGATTTTGATCAAATTTAATTCGTAATTTAAAAGTTGTTAGAAAACTTTATATTCCAAAAATCATGCAACGATGTTTTCATTATATTTCCGTTATTTCTATATATATTTTTCGATCTTTCCTATGGTAGCTATAATATATAGCTGTCCGATTTTTATGAAACTTTTTTCTCAATATTAGGGTTGTTAAAAAACTTGATATTTAAAAAATCATGCTCGTCGGATAAAAAACAACGATGTTATCAATTTATTTCCATTAATTCAATATATATTTTTCGATCGCTCCTATGGCAGCTATATGATAGAGTTATCCGATTTTGATAAAATTTAATCCGAAATTCAATAACAGTTTGAAAACGCCATCTTGAAGAAATCAAGTCGATCTGATCAAAAACAACGGTCTGAGAATTTTTTATTCCATTCTCTCGTATGGGAGCTATCCGATATAGTCGGCCGATCCGGCTCGTTCCGACTTATATACTGCGTGCAATTACTACACAACTTTTGGGAAAGTTTCAGCAAGATAGCTTCAAAGCTGAGAGACTAGTTTACATAGAAACCGACAGGAGGAGAGACGGACTACGGACAGATGGACAGACGGACAGACGTACATACATATTTCGATTCAGATGGTGATGCTGATCAAGAATATATATACTTTATGGGGTCTAAGGTGTCCCCTTCACTGCGTTGCAAACTTCCCTTTTGCTCTGCAAGGGTATAAAAATGGTTATCTTAGAAAATCGTGACTGAAATCTAGTTTTAATTCAGTTGGGATTGCAAAGTTGATTTTTTACTTTTATTGGTGAATCAAACATTAAAATTATAGCAATTGGATTTATAAAAACTCTTGATAATAAAATTAATGCAAGACAAGAAAAAAGGTCCGCCCTTTTTCTAAATAGATGTGCCTTTAAGTATGCTGTCAAAATTTTCAAAATTCAATGATTGCGAATTTACTATTTTGCCAATTGGTTGGAATACGCCATCTGGTGGAAGGTAGATTGGCTAATTTTCCAAAGTTCATTTTCAGTTTAGTTTTGTTACTACAATTCAGCATTCGGATGATAACACCATTATACTTTTTATTAAAAAGTATTAATGCCTTGTTTCATTATATTATTTTTGTACCAAGTCAGAAAAAACCAGAAGATTGCTCGAAAGTGAAAGCCTGTCAAAAACCCATGTTGTGTCTGTTGAACCTATTTTCTATATTCTTAGTGTTAAGAGAGAAATTGTTTGTTATTTTTATATTTGAATTAAAATATACCACTGCTAATTGGTGAGATACTTAATAACTATTTGCCTAATTCCTAATTCCATCAAAAAACAGTAAGAAACAACTTTCCCAACTTTTTGTTTTTGTAGTCTGGAGGAGTGGAGTCAATAAACAGTTCCCTCTTATTAAATAAGTCCAATTAGACCCTTTAATTATTGTTTTTCCTGCACGAAAGCTGTGTGATTGCCTTTTGCTTTGGCCGAGTTCGCTTCCTGTTCCAGTGCAGCAGCAACACCAACAGCAGCAACAGCAACAGCAACAGCAACAGCAACAGCAACAGCAACAAGCCCAGCAGCAACATCATGCCCTCCCAGTCGCTCTTCGCTAAGCTTCTACTTTGACTTGACTGCTATTTCATTTTAATGACTCACGTG